TTTTTAGGATCTTTTTTTCTTATTTTAATATATTTAAAAAATTTAGAAAAAAATAATATAATTAAGATTATTAATTAGTTTTTACATTCAGTTAAAAAATTATATCGATTTCGTATTTTATGTTGCACTGTAATTATAACTAGAGGATTAAAAAAAAAAGAAATATCAATGGAGTCTAGAAAAATATTAAATTTTTAGTAGAGGCAAAAGATATACAATAAATATATATCACAATATTATAAAATTGTATTTCAGAAAATTATGAAGCTGTATTTTAGAACTTTGACATTTTCTTTTCTTGTTAATTAATTAAAAATATAATTGAAACCATTGAGAAACTCAAGCAATTTTCAGCCGAAAGATTATATTGGTTTTACATTTTCATCACGATATAGTACAGAAGATCGCTTTCGCGACCAAGGTGCATTTGCTGTTACATTCAGTTGTATCTGTATGCATCGAGTGCTATACCCACAGTACGGTAGTTCTGAACTTAACGCAAAAGAACTAAAACTTTTTGAATTTCTCTTAATAAGCGCGAAGTTTCATGAAGGGGGTGCGGCTGAAAGCTCCGGTCGCGGGATTGTATAGCTCTCGGGCTTTTTGGGTTAACGAGAGTTCTCGCTCTTTCTCTTCGTTTCCTCTCCTTTCTTCCCATCCTCTCTCTTCTCCTCTCTCTCTCTCTCTCTCTCTCTCTCTCTCTCCTCCTCCTCCTCTCTCTCCCCCTCTCTCTTTCTCTCTCTCTCTTTTTCTCAGTCTATCTGTCTGGCCGTCTCTTTGCTTGTTGTTTCATGAATTCTTGCAACTCTTTCGCTTTTTCAATATTTGTCATCCGCGAACACCTGTACCTTGCGACACTACGCTCTTTCTTTTTTGCTCGTTTCACATTCTCTCAATATTTGCCGCTAGATTTGTTCTCTATTCTTGAAAACGTTTTGTTTATTCTCGGTATAGGATGTGGTGAAATCTTGCTCATCGCCCATCACCGAGTTTCCTTTTATTTTCGAAAGGGTTCGCGAACAGAAAATAAATATCCGCGACTACGAAGCGTTTTACGCTTCAAACGAGAGAACATTCGTGAGAAAGTCGATAAATCCGTCGCTGCGGGCGAACAAAACGCACAAACATGTCCCAAAGAAAAATATAAAAGCTAGCGAAAATGAAATTTTCTTTTGACGTATACATCAGAAAACAATTGCACTTTATTTGTATCTTAAATATGTATCTAATATAATGTAGACGTATCTACAAAAGGATGATTTCTACGTAAATATTATACTGAACGTGGCATTAAATTTTATTGACTGTGCTAGAAACCAAGCGTTTAACAATTTTTAGAGATCCATAGAAAATAAAACATAATCAACAGATAGAATTATTTCTACGTGACGGATTTCCTGAAGTTCTTTACGGATTTCGTGAAATATTAATGACTAGATAATAATTTACGGTCGCGTAGGTTGACTTTGACATCCTCGATCAAAGGGCTTTCAGCAATGGTGCACAGAGAACACAATTTAAAAGCCACTGCATACCTAAAGCTATTTGCTCTTTCCTCTTGCTTTCTCTCTCTCTCTCTCTCTCTCTCTCTCTCTTTCTCTCTCTCTCTTGTCAGAGTAAGAATTTCAATTAGAATCTTTAGAATCTATTTGTCGCATGTGTGTCGCATCATCAAGCTCCGATTTGTTAAAAATCACCAACTTCAATATTGCTATTCCATAATAGTACTTCAAAATATTCTGATAAACTTACAATCACTATAACAATTTTAATTAAAAATAATGAAAGAAATTTTTAGAAAAATTTTTTATCTACGTGTAGAAAATCAATTTACTATACAAACATTCAGAACTTGATTTAAAATAATTATTTAAGCGCAATTTGAAGTCTAAACTAGTACAACGATGATTGAAAAAGACGTACCTTTTTTATTAAAACGTTTATTAAAATTTGTTTTAGAGTTTAATTTCTTAATTTATAAATCCGTTGTTTACACAACAAGATGTGAAGGTACAAGAAAGATTGAAAAACATAAAGAAAGAGGAGGAACATTTAATAAGCTTTCGCATTCTGAAAGTGATAAACATCAGGTTTTCTCAGTCTCAGATTTCCATTGTGAGTCTAGTAAACCGGAGGGAAGTAGCTTACGTCGTCAGTTATTTCACAGTGTTAGAGCAGGGTTGGTTTTCTCTCGCCCGAGTTCTTTCCTCGGCGGAGTCCTGCCATTTCCAACGGCGAAAATGCAAAATTCACTAGGAGAGCAGCGGCGTCCTGATTAGAGTACTCGACGAAGGAAAAGGAAAATCGAAAAAAGACAGCGGAGGTGGGTGAACGTTGGCGTCGATTCCGTCAAACGAGCGACAGCCTCATTCAGTCAACCCAACGACGGAAATATTTTACTTTCCGGTACCATCTTATGCGTAGTTCAAAGGAACCGAAGACGATTGCAAGGAGTAGAAAAATAAAGTAAAAAGAAGCACAACCAGTGAGTCTCTTTGATTCGCATTGGGTGAACTGTGGAGATAACTAATACTCTTCGCACCGTGATTTTCCGCAAAATGGCAACAAATTACTATCGCAAACGGCATATTATTTCAGATAATAAAATGAAAAGAAGCAATTCTTATTTATAAAAAGTATCAACTGCAAGAAAATTACGCCAATTACTCTTTTACGTAAATTATGACTTATTTATTAAGTAAACTTTTAAAATTATCGGAATATTATAATTGCATTATATAATATAAAATAAATGTTTATTTAAATAAAAAATATTATTTTTTATGGATTATTTCTAGATCATAGAAAAAAATACCAATTACTACTTTATTTGATATAATTAATAGAAATAATTATTATCATAAATTTCATTTATTACGTTTATTTACGGCGACTGAAAAATAACGTTCTTCCTACATGTATTATTATTGTAATTAATATCACCATATGCCTCGAATTGATGATCGAATTGATAAGATGTCCACGGAATTCGAAAAATCTCGGCTGAGGTGATATTTTTCAATAAATTATTTACAATGTTTCAAAGATGCTTAGCATCAATAATATTAAATTACTTGTCAATTTAATTTGTGATATTACATATTCCAACTTTAGTCTAAGACTGTAGGTATGTTTATTATTTCTGAACTGGTGCACACGGTGCAATAAATTGAAATGAAACGAACGTATATTTATTTCACTTTAACTTATTGCACCGAGTGCACCAGTTCAGAGAGAGTAGGAATAAAAGATAGACCTTGTGTTCAAGATCGACAAATAATCAGTGCACAGTTCGAACTGGAAATTATAAAACACACATATATTATTAGACACTAAGATCCGCCTTGATTGAAAATAGCGCTCTCCGCCTTCTTTACTTATTTTTGTTGAACAATTATTGTCACTTCAATTAATTTTGCGATAAAAATGGCAAAACATGGTCTAAATAACATAATATTTAACTTTTTATCGTATTTTATAAATATACTAAATCCCTCATCAGTAAAAATTATGTATTAATTATCGATAAGGCGACATTACTTCAGTATACAATGCACACATAAGAAATACTTTTAATAGTTTTCTATGAAAAATAATGCTACATTAAAGTTGCTCTATCATTTTCACATTTGAAATGTCTCTGAACAAGACGCTCCAATTATTACAGTCAAATGCGAAGACGAATCTATCCAATCTCACTTTGAACTTTCGGACAGTTCGCATTGTCCGTGTCGAAATCGAATTGTCAGGTACTTCGATTCGCATTCCTGCGCGGACGTAGACTGCTCCTTCTGGCGTGCTATTTTCTTCTATTCTAGCGAAATGAAAGAATCCTTGGTAAGCCACACACATCAGAAGCAAACATTTTATAAATTTATATAAAATTATCGCTTATATAACATCGCTCTCTTAATAACAAAACTTTAATTAAAGAAAGAGAGAGAAAAATTACATATTCTTTATTTGTAATTTTAATAAATAAGTAAATAAAATCATTTAAATGTTGTTATATAGTATATACATATAAATAAATATATAACATTTATACAATGATTACTTATCAGCATGAATCTTAATTATCAATAAGATATCACTGCTTTTTAGTGATTACTTATGTTGGATATTATAAGTACATAATCATTGATGCAGCTTCTCTATATAATCATGATTGTATTCTAATTGAAAAATTCTCTATAAATAAAATTATTCTGTATACTGAAAGAGAATATATATCTATATATTGTTTACTTCTGAACTTGAAATGATAAAATAGCATTGGTCATTCCGTTCTCAAGCTAATCGACGTTATGATGATATAGTGGGCGATATGTTGGTGTTAATGAACCGCGAGGGGCGCAATTGCCATTACCACAGCAATGATTTAACGATCTTCCTCGTGGCCGATAATGGACCGGCTTCTGTGCTCCTATAGTCGTCGAACCAGCAGCCGGTGGATGGATCAGTTGAATCAGCCGCTATGTTGCTGTTGGAATTCAATTTGTACTGTTTCCTAATCGAGCTTTTGCTCATTAAGCTTTACTGTGCCTCTTTGTCTCGTCAATGCTAGCACCGCCAACGAGACTTAAAAAAAAGCCGTACA